TGGCGGCGGCGTCCCCGCTGGCGCGGCGGCGGGGCGGCGGCGGGGCGCCGACGCGGCCGCTGTCGTTCGTGCGCGCGCTGGAGGTGCAGGACGCGCTGGAGTCGCGCGCGCCGCCGCCGGAGCCGCCGGACCGCGCGTCGGTGTACGACTGCAACTACGAGATCTCCGTGTGAGCCGACCGACCCGCCCGGTGCGCGGGCAGCGACTGACTCTCGGTACCTCTCGTGACGTGTGATTGCACTTTTATATCTATGTATATTTGTGAGTATCTGTAATGTTGACGTATATTTAATTGTGAATTTGTTGAGAGAGTGTACATAGTCCCCAGTGTTGTGATTCCGAGATGACATAATAATTATATAGAGGTTAAAAGAGTAAATGTATCAGCACCCGAGTGACTCAATTATTGTGTAAAAAATATATTTATAAAAATTGTTTTTCAAGGAGCTGTTGTATGTTTTTCCTTTAGGTTTAAAATCGATGTGTCAGGTAGTCGGAGGTTACGGAATTGACTGATTCGTTAATCTGCCTCAATTTTTTAGTTGAAACGGGCGGGCGCAGCGAGGTTTAGAAAATGTCGCAGCGTGCGTTTTTTACTTGACTATTTGCATAAAAAAAGTATTAACTTGGTACATTTTGGACACAGTTGACGTAGCAAACTAAGTGGTGTATAAATGGTAGTAATGACGATGACTTGTGTTCTGAGTAAAAAATGCACGACGTGTGACATAATAATGTGCCAAATATTGTGTAGTCACAGGTAGCTTAGAGCACGCGTCTTGTTATTTCATTTTGATGTTATTGAACTTTCCTGAGTTTTGTTGTGATAAGACACTATTGTTAAACAATCGCTAAATCATTGTATCACTTGCGCTATTTCGACTTGATTCGTCAATGTTTTATTCATTCTTGTAATCTAGTGATAACAATACTTTCCTATTTTACGATTAGTGACAAAAGTATAATTAATACGGTGGGATATATAATGAGGTGATGCGGCTTAGTGCCTGTTTGAAGGGAAGGAAGATGGTGATAAATTCTTATGTCTGAACTGCGCGTGTAATTATTAAATAAATCACGTCAATATCATATCTGCGTGTGCGCAAGTGTGAATATCGTTGTGATTGCACCGTAATTTAAACTTATGATAAATATAAAAATAATTTATGCGTAGGAATCTCAAGCAACAATGACTTGGACATAATGATCGCGAGATCATGGCAGCTTTGAAAAAATGTGACAAAATTGACTTAAAATTTGACATAAAGGATTGTAAATCTCGATTTGAACTTTATTTCTTTGAACATACGGTTGATGTTTAATTTAAATCGATTTTATAAGTCCGAAGTACCAAGAAAAGGGTCTATATTGTAATTAATTTTAGTTCTATTCAAAGTCCCTAAAAATTCAGTTGCTTGAGTTTATGAAGATTGTGATTTATTACACCGCAGATCTATAATAAAAAGTCGTAAAAGCCCACTATTTCTAGTTAATTTCCATTTTTAGAGATTTAAATCTAAACTACAGGCAAATTTTAATTAGATTTTGTTAATGGTGCATAAAGAATTGATTCTGTAGTAATTGAGTAGTTTAATCTTCCTCTGTCTGATTTTTAGAGATAGAGGGAGACCAAATAGAGATTGGTGACTGATATGTTACTAAATACGGTTTTTCGGTAAAAATCGGTTTTAGTAGTCGTCGGCATACGTCGTAAAATGGTTATTAAATAATTTTATACGATTTATTTTATTTATTTAGTTGATCATATTCTACTTTCGAATTTGTCTGTAGTTTTAGGTCTAATTCTAAAATATAAAGATTTTTCAATGAGCGAAAGTAATGATTGCATTACGCAGGGTTGTTTGCAATGTAAAACGGATCTCAACTTTCCGAATTCCTATTTTGACATGGAGAAACTGTACTTATATTGTCTGTAATGTAATAAAAAGAATATATTATTCTAAATTACAAAATATGTACTGAACACATTGAAATAGAAGTGAGTCAGTTGAGATTACCTTATGTACATAAATAAATAAAGTATATATTTAATATTATAAATTAATATCAAGATATATATATAATATAAATGAAACGTATCACTAGTTTTTGATACAAAAGGTTTAGTCGACGAACGAATTTTACCAAAACGTTCGGCAGTGATACGTTTTAACAAGATTGTATAGAAAATATAAAATACAATAAACTGTCTTCTATTTATTAAGGGTTAAGTATGTAAATATTCATGAGAAATGTAAAAGAAATATCTAAGGACAATTTTGTATAAAACTTGTGTACTAGTATTTGTTGTGAATGTTACAACTGCATATGTAATAACAACGGTTTAGTTTCGGTGCCAGTAAATACGATATTTTTTTAAACTACTTACAAACATATCAGCAGCGTATTCTCCTGTTTTATACGTAGCAAAGGTTTTGTTGAACGGCCTATAATACATTCAATTTTCCAGTACTCTTCATTCATTCGCCTGCCTCTCACCAATGCACATTCCGTTTCTCATATTTATTTTAATGTAGTTTATTTTGGCACATTTCTTTGACTGTGCGTACTTAAATTTTCACAATTAGTGCTTTATGAACACTGTTGAGATGACAATGCACACGTTATCAAGTTGTTGGTTGAAACCTGACTAAAGTCCATGTTAATGTCCATAAATATGTTAGAAAGACTATTATAGTTAGAAGTAATTATTTGAAATAAACTTGTATGGTATTTTGGAGTAAAAGCTTATTGTTTTTTTTTTAAGTAATATTTAAAGTTAATGTGACCTCAACACGATTCATTTTTGTAGGACTACTTTACGTAACGTTGCGTCGGATTTTATAATTTGAAATCGAGTAGTTGACAGGTTTCGTAAGTACTCATTATTTTTTATAATAGTCCCATAAAATGGTTGGCTATGTAATAACAAAGTGTCTGTCTGTCTCGAACTTTTATTTTTATAGTACACAGAGTAAAAGTAATATATTCGAAAGTAAATAATACGGTATATGGTAATAAATAAATTGATTCGTGTTGCGGTTTATTTGTAAAATAAGCAATCGTTCTGAAAGTAGTGTGTAAAAAATGAAACTAAGTATTGATTTTTATAACGCTTTTAGACCCAAATATCATACGATGTGAGTGTACAAATGTACAAAATGTTTGTTTCTTTTTCTCGACTTCTCCCTAAATCCGAAAATGTCTAATTTGAGGATGTAATAGGTTTGAAATACAGCTGCGCTGCAACATACCTAAGACTAATGTGTAATTATAATAGTACCTCCTCAAACGTTATTTTATTACCTAATTATGTATGTGACAGTGTTTTATTTTTGTATTTTGATAAAATTTGTGTAAATAATTTTCTTATTTTATTGATATTAAACTCAATTAATCAACTTTGTTTTATTTGTTCTTTAAACTTTTCTTATGATAACTTTGCTTTGTTCTAACATGTAATAAAAGTATTGAAGCAATAAATTGTGTTACTAAACAAGCTTTTGAAGCATAACTAATTGTAATAAATAAAAACTAAGCACAATAACAAAACGCTTTGCTTAGACAATGCTAAACGTCGCTCACAACTGCCTCACGAAATGCACTTGTAATCCAGATATACTCGCATTTGCTTGAATTTTAGTTCTAAATAAATTCGAATTTGTGTAAAATAAATGTTTGAATCCAAAATAATAGAGCCTATTTGAATTTCGCGGCCTTTAAAGCAATGCTTTCATTACAAATCAGTGGAGATAGACGACCAAAGCGAAAAATCGAAAAAAATATGAGTGAATTCGTGATAGGATGGCTGATAATAAAATGGAAGTAGAACTTCTGCCAACCCTAAATATCTTGCGTTCCTAGCGTGAATAGAAGTGACGAAGTGAAGACCTCAAAAACAAGTGGAAGTTATGAAATAAAAAAACCGGTATTCAAAAGCTAAAATCGACTAAAACTAATACTATTGGACCAGGCAATATACAGGCGTCGGACCACCACAAAAAACTAAATTATGTCTACCCAAAATCCTTTTTTTACGAAAAAATAGGTATTAATAATTATGTCAGTAACGTCACTCGAAATAAATTATTAAATAAATATGTTTTATAAAATAAATAATTTTTGATTAGCTAGGTACTCGTTTTGACAATAAACGGAACGCGGCCATCAAATGTCATTGTCAAAGAGACATCTTTTTTCCTCTAGCAACACAGTTTCTTTTTCAGTCGACGGGTAAAGGGAATGTGAGTGTTAGAAACTTTTATAAAAATATCCATAAAAATCTGTGTTTTTGGGGAAGATATTGAATAAAAACCTTTAAGTATATCAAAATTGTGAACCCCACGATTGAATAGTGCCCATATTTTTTGAAATCCCCTATAAATAATCACAAATATTGTAACTTCTTAGTTCGTGTTGTACACAGAGTTTGTGGTGGTTGTCGAGTTATTTGTGCGTATATCTTAGTGAATACACAGTTTGCTAGCTTGTAATGAGTGTTAATTGATACGCACTTGATTATTGATAGGGATTTGAGGCGTGTATAATATAATAATATACAGAAACACAAGTTTTGAAGGTTAGTTTTTGTTGTTTCCAGATCCACCCAAAATGGGTAAGATTATGAAACCAGGAAAAGTGGTGCTGGTCCTCAGTGGCCGGTACGCGGGTCGCAAGGCGATCGTGGTCAAAAACTACGACGAAGGCACCTCAGACAAGCCTTACGGACACGCTTTCGTCGCCGGCATCGACAGGTATCCCCGTAAAGTGCACAAGAGGATGGGCAAAAACAAAATCCACAAGCGATCCAAAGTAAAGCCTTTCGTCAAGGTGAGTTCTTCATTTATTACTCTTCAAAATTTTTGTTATTGTAGTGATACTGTGATAATAGGTACATCAGTTGAATATAGTAGTATACCTGATTGTAACTTATTGATCTACAATATCCTAAGTCCTAACCTATAAATGTGAGATACATTTGATACATTTAGAAATCTTGCCTGTGTTACTGTATGTATGCTAAGCTAATTTACTGCATCCCATGTGCTTTTTGTTTATGTTTACTATATTACCAACTTACTCAAAAGTTCAATAGATTTCAGTGCCAATCTTGCGTACATCAATTCCTGTTGAACTGCTTACAATATGTATTGTTGATCATGTATAATAAACATTGAATATATACAATGTTCTTTGGTAAAAAGAAACTCAATTACTTATAAACTCATACTTTCTAGGTATACTGTTAATATACTATAATTCTATAAAATTGATGTTGGACTTTCAGTGGAACTCCAATACATTTACCCGATCTTTTATTTTAGTAAACAATGAACTTTAAAATTGAAAATGACATAATTGTTAGCCAGTGAACCAACACTGTGAGACATACTAAATGAACCAAAAATCTTGAGTTACTCACGTAAGACTAGTAGAGCTTTTCACAGTATTTTCATGTGAGTAACCCATGGTTTTTAGTTAATTTAGTGAACCAACAGTTTACAATCTTTCCATGGATAATCAGGGGATTATGAATTAGATGTATATAAGTACTGCCTATGCAAGTATTTCAACTCTGATTAAGATTACAATGGTGACCCGAGTTATTACACATTTCCAATCATACTAAAACATCATTGTAATTGTTCCAGGTTGTCAACTACAATCACTTGATGCCCACTCGCTACTCAGTTGACTTCAGCTTCGACAAGTTTAGCGCCAAGGACCTGAAAGACCCCGCCAAGCGCAAGAAGCTCCGTTTCAACACAAGAGTGCGCTTTGAAGAGAGATACAAGAGCGGAAAGAACAAGTGGTTCTTCCAGAAGCTTAGGTTCTAAGTAATTTTAAAAAATAAAACATTACATTTGTAATGACATAGTTGTTTTATTTTTGGATTGGATTGCTGAAACTGGCACTCGATGTTGTCTCTGATAGGATCATACCGCTGGCAGAACATTTCTATGCCTGTATTGGCTGTATTGCTTCAATTTGTTATGATAAAATTATAACTAGCGAGAGACCATGATATTTATCACTAACTAGTATGATAAAAAGTTTACCCCATACGGTAGTATCTACCTAAAAGCCGTCTTGCCCAAAGGCTGTAACATTGCTCTAGTTGCCAAAGGTAAAATATATTTTTATCTGTAAATTATTGGGGCGATTCTTAGCCTTTTGTGGTTTTAGTTCGATTCCCGGGTAGGGCAAAGTATTACTGGGTTTTTAAAAAAATCTCAGTAGTACCACGGTGTCGGTATATGGCAATAGGCTCGCCCCCTATTACATGGGACTCGTAACATAAATAGTGAAAAGTGGGTGTTACTTCTGTGTACACCTCTGACTACCTCTTCGGGGATAAATGGCAAAATGGGTCTATGCAGTTTTACACTTAAAATGATAAAATAAAAACTGCGTTTAAAAAAAAGACTTCTCTAAACAAATAAAAAGCAAAACATAACTATATTACTACTGATGAGTTACTCATCCACTGACCGACTTCTACTCGGTGCCATAAGCTTATATTTTTGGCAACCTTGGCCGATGTGTTACTGTCTATAGACGATGTCGCGCGGCCTACGGCGTCCTCGCCTACCGCCTCCTGACACAGGTCCTCACCGGACATGGGAGCTTCGGGAGGTATCTGTGTCTGATAGAGCGGGAGGAAACGCCCGGGTGTCGACACTGCGAGGACCGCCCTGAGGACACGGTGGAACACTTGTGGAATGCCCTGCGTGGGATGAGCACCGCCGTGCCCTCAGGGATGTGATCGGCGACGGCAACCTCTCGCGACCGGTCCTAGTGCGGGCCATGATGCGGAGCGAGGGGGACTGAGGTGTCGTCTCCTCCTTTTGCGAAGCAGTCATGCTAGCTAAGGAGAAGGCGGGGCGCGGGAACGAATCTCCTCACGCCCCAGCCGTCGCGTCGGGAATCGCGAGACGATCTCCGGCCACCGTAAGCGCGGGCCTGCGGACGGCGAGCATGGGTGGCTCGTCGCCCGACCAGAACCAGGCCCGAGCGTACGTCGAGTCGCGTTCCGCGCGCGCCTCAAAGAGCCATCAGACCACCATGGATGGGGCCCAATAGGGCTGATGCCGATACGGAGTCGCGAAAAACCTAACGGGTTATTGGGGCTCCGGCTCAAAGTGCAGGAGTAGGAACGGGGTGGTTTTTAGTCAGTAAGAGTCTGATACTGCCTCTCGCCTCACCCAGGCGGGAGCAGCCATTCAATGATTTTCCTCCCTTAAAAAAAAGACGATGTCGGCATTTTACACGAGATCAAAGATGTCGTCCTAATGTATGTTTTTTATACTGTGGTATAAGGAAAGCGAGTCTTTAAAGCCACGTTCTCACTAGGAGACATATCGCCCAACTTCGATCGATATTTCGCTTGTTCACATTGACCAGTTGCGATCAGTATGTCGCCCGAGGAGGAGTCAATATTCTCTTTGCTATTTCCAGAATACAAAGCGACACACGTTCTCAGTACTCAAAGTCTGTCCGGCGATTAGCCAGTATACTACAGTAGTCTTTGCCGGCGATTGTCGACTGTTGAGGGACATGCAGTCGCGTGTGTCGACGCTCGCAGAGCATCGACTAGCGACAAGTTGCGCGACCCGTTACGCCCCACGTGAATTTCGTGTCGAGTGACAGAGTCTAGGTAACTACTTAGGTAGCAACATGGAATAAAAGTAGTGTTTTGCATTGTGGATATAGAAAAATGAAACCAAAACCATAGCTACATAATCGATTTATTTAAATAAATTATATTCTCTTAAGCAGTCTATTCTTATAGATAACGTACAAGAGTTAATTAATTAGTGAACCTTTTAATAATTGAAACAATAATACATAGTATAAAATGCCGTACGTTTTTATGTATGTAACCGCAAAATAAACGCACTGGTGAACGAAATTAAGTTGAAATTCCTACGAACGTCAGTAGGAATTAAAGACTTGACTATTTAGAAATAAATATAATGTCATAAATCTGGTGGAATATAAAAATAAAAATGTAGGTATTTAACCTTAATTGGGATACAAGCTATATTCCCAAAACTGGGGATAGTTCTTTCATTGCAAAGAGGTTTGGATGACTCAGAATTAGACTAACAATAATACTATTTTCATAAACGCAATCATTCATATTGCACACTGCAAATTACATCTTCCGTACAGCCAACATTAGAATTGCAGCTCTACCATAATGATCTTTAAGTTGATTTTTAAACAATTTATTGGTTTGTTCGTAGTTGGTGATTAAAATACCAGATTTTTAAAATAGAGAGTTAGTTGCTTCGCGTTATTTACAAGAAGTAGCGGTAACAATTGTATAGCACGTATTTATGAGCAAATCATACAAAATGGTGATAAAGTAATTCTCAAACAATTGTTTTATAACATTGTAATCATTCGAGAGCATTCATTAAACCGAGTGTTGTTTCAAATCGATAAGTTTGTCGACAAAATTAATGCGGAAAATTGCACAAAAGATAAAGAAAACAGATTTTTACACTATTCAATTAGCTGAAAAGGAAAAAAAACATTTTCATGGAATAAATCTTTTAAAATAAAGAAAAAATTAATTTAAGTACATTCAGCAATCGATTCAAATAAATCGATAAGAATGAAAGAATAGAGGTGCACCACTAGAATCGACTAATTTCATCGACAAGCTTCTCGATTTAGTATCAACACGAGACTCCCTCATCACGCCGCGGCCAGCTTCGAGATCTTTTCGTCTAACTTCTTAATCTCCTTGTTGACACTGTCCACGTTGTGCGCGAATACTTCTTGAACACCCTGTAGTAACTCTTTGTTGTTTTGCACCCCACTGGCTATCGTAGTTTGTAGGGTTTCCAACTCCGTCAAGGATTTACCGAAGTTACTTGCTGCGAAGAGAATATACATACATATTAAACATTATAAAATATTTTTTTTATGCAATCAGCGTAAGACGATCGCCAGATCACCAACCATCAACCAATCTAAAAAAAAATACAGACTTTTTAAAAGGAGGTCGTACTTTTTTTACTATCTGATAGTAGCATCGTCGTATTCGAAAATACTGGAGGAGACAGTTCATTTTTTTTATCGAACTTTAATAGGATTGGCGTATGTGCGTTCATGATCAAATATATACAATTAGGTGACGCGTCAGTTAGTTAGCTATATCACACTAATATTACATATAGATGTGAAAGTTTATTTGTTTGGATGTTTGTCCTTCAATCACGTTGCAACTACGGAACGGATTTTGATGAAATTTTGTATACAGGCAGGGTATGGGCTGACTTAGGGCGGACTTTTTTTTATCCCGATTAAACTCTCTCATGGGATAAAACAGGAAAACGCGGCCAAAGCCGTGGGTCAAAGTTGGTATCCTATAAATTAAATCATTAATAAAGTGTTATGATGTGCATCTTCACATGTACTCACCCTGATTGTGCAAGGCTTCCAGTGCCTCCATGCGCTCCAAAATCTCGGAATGTGATATACCATCTATCTGCTTCAGCAGTTTGTACAGCTCGTTCACCTACGATTTAAAATAGTATATCACATCTTAATATTGGCTCAAATGAAAGATAAAAAAGGCTCTGAGAAAAACGACCTTATTTCTTTAATTGTACTCCAATAACATTTTGAAAGACTGTTAACGACTATATTCACTAATGGTTACATGCATGTAAAAATGTAATTTTAATAAAATACCTTAGCATCCAGTTCAGGGTCCGCGGGTTTGACAGCTGCCTTCAAAGCATCCACGTTGGTGAGTAGCGACGTGACGCGCGCCTCCGCGGCCGCCAGCTCGGCCGGCCGCAGCAGCGACGTCTGAGCTGCCAGCGACGCCGCTGCACCGCATAACGTCGCCTGGAAATACATTTGAAATCCATTATAAATAGTTTTTTTTAACATGTTTACCAAATATAAATGACTCGTAGTTACTTGTCCATTTTTCTGCATACTGACAATGAGCATCGCTACATAGTAGTATAAAACAAAGTCGCTATCCGCCGTCTGTCTGTCTCTATGTATGCTTAGATCTTTAAAACTACGCAACGGATTTTGATGCAGTTTTTTTAATAGATAGAGTGATTTTTAAGGAAGGTTTATATGTATAATACATGCATATTGCACCCGTGCGAAGCCGGGGCGGGTCGCTAGTAAAATATAATTTCTTGCTGTTCTGGTAAGATTTTCTGGGTCCCTTTAATTTATAAGGAAGGATTCATTTGTTTATTGCTCTGTCAGTCACCAATAATGCAAGTTGTAAGGTACTCATTTTAGAGGCTTGATAGTAATATAAAAATGTCAGAATGCCACTGACCTGTCCTGTAGCTGCCTGCAGTCTCCTGAACGCTTCCTCGTCTCTGACTCCCGCTGCCTGCTCCAACTTGTGTAGCCTGGGAATTAAACAAACAGATCACATATAACTTTAATCAGACATTTTCTGTAATGGGTGGAGCTGAGTAGACATTAAAAACAATTTTAGGATTTATCCATTATTTTTGGAAGGACACATTTTTATTGTGCATCTGATGGGTTATATAAATAAAGGGTAATTAATGAAAATGATAGATTAGCATCGAGACTGATAATAAATGCTCTTGTGGGTTCCATCTCCACTTTATCATCTTTGCCTGTGCTGGCTCTTGATAAAGTATTACTGGGATTTAAAAAAAATCTCAGTCATAGCATGGAGCCTGGAATTGTCCACGGCAATAGGCTCACCCCCTATTACATGGGACTCATAACATAAATAGTGAAAAGTGGGTGTTATATTGTGTAGTACATAGGCTTTAAGTGCCGTAATATGCATCTCTGCCTACCCCATGTGATGTTATATTATCATCTTTCTATCAGTCAACACCAAATACTGTTAAGTAACCGTTTTTGAAATAATATTGTGCAATTAAGTTGATCTACATACCTATGTTCAAGCTGTGCTATCCGAGTGGTGTATGCCAGGTTGACTTCAGGTTTTAGCTTCAGGTGAGCAGTCACCACCTCTCCCTGCTTCGTCTTCTTATTAGAACTTGATAAATATTCCCTGAATAAAAAATAAGTAACATTTTAACAACAAAATATTCATGGTTAGTAAAAACAATGCTTGGAAATCAACTAAAAATCGCAGGTTACCCACGTGAATATATTGAGAAAAGCTCTACTAGTTTCGAGCCACAGAGGGGCTCTTCCTCATGAGCAGCGTGCGCGGTCGCGGCTATGTCACGCAGCCTACTACCGCCGCGACCATCGACGATAGTTATTATAATACTATAACTACTTGACAATTTTTTATAGAGATTTCAGATAAACGAGATTTATTGTAATTTCTAAGCTTCACTTAAGGGTTGAAGATCACCGGTTAAAAGGTTTGTTAGAGAATGCAACCTTACTGTACTGTTTGATTTGTCATTCAAAAATGCCTTATCGGTCTGTTTAAAATTGATTTTGAGTATATTTTGATCCTTGCATTCATGCCGTATGCCGAATAAAACTCTTTTCATTTCATTTCACTATTAAACATTTTGACCGCCACGAGTGGCTATAGCCACAAACTAAAATGTACTTAAAAATCAAGTCTTTTCTGCTTTTGCTTGTCTGCTTTGGCCGACTGTGACGATCACGCCTTATTTTGTTTGTGGGGTTCGATAGGTTACTAATATTCTTATAATTAATAAAAACAGGTCTTACTTTAACTTCTCAGCTTTAGGATCAATTTGTTCTCCCTCTTCCAATTTTAACTCCTCTAGTAATTTCTTTGTTGAGTTGATTTGAACAGCTAGCTTCGTGTACTCATCCTGCAAGTATATTCAACAAAATTACCTTGTACCTTGTCAGAGTAAAAGGAACGAAATTAATTAGCATACATGGAAGAAATTAGTACTGCTGTAATACTTTATATCACTAATAAACACTTAAACCTCTTTTCTAACACAAAATTGTTTCAATGAAGTCTATGGACTATAAATATTAATTAGAGTATTCTACTACTACTATTTTGCCTTACGCTTGTATAAGCATAAGGCAAAATACCCTGTCTTAGTCATGCTGAACTGGTGCCTATTTTAGCTCAGTCTGCTAAGTTATGGTTATGGGATATACCTATGGACTTAACCTCGTTACTGTACTATACTTCTATCGCATATATTGTCCTTTGTCCTTTGTGTGTAAAATTAAGTTATTTTTTTACCTTTTCACTCTCAGTAGCTTTGTTCTGTTGCTCTGCCACTTGTTCAAGTAACTCTGAGAACTCACAACGGAGCCTATTGTACCGCTCCAGGATCGTTTCTGGTTCTCCTTCAGCTGCCAGTTCCCATTCCCCAGCCCTAGACCATTTTAAAACATATAGCAAACATATTTTGGCCAAAAGCTAAACTTTGCTTGTGTGGTTCGACTACTGAAAACTGAATTTAGTTCTTACCTGTATCCAATTCGAGATTTTCGGCTCAGTCTATCGGAAAAGTCAACAGCACCAGTTAAAAATCTCCCTTTAAATTTGTTGAAAGAATCTTTCACAGATAAATGCAATTGCTCAATAGATTCATTCTCTTCCTCCTCTGTAGGGTCAGGCTGGTCCGCCTCCGGTAAATCACCGGTCTCATAAACATCAGGTTGGTCATAAGCCTGAGAAAAATAAAATATTGAGCACCACAAAGCAAAATCAATAATGTTCTGCATAATTGACATTTTGTACTCACTATGCCTGGAAGATTTTCATATTTAGGATCAGCCATGGTTACAATTATGAATTATTATATTTATTTTATAATCAATAGGATAACTTATTAGAATTTACAATTTTTTACATAAAATGACGTCATTCGACAACTGGATTAGAAGTCATTTTTGACAGAAACGTTTGGTTACCTATAAGAATTAAAACGAAAGTAAATTATTTTATTGGATCGCAACTAAATAATGTTTCAGGCTATTACTACAATTGAATGCACTTTTATTACACATTCAGTCAGTTTTTTCCTATAAAAATAATATTTTTTCCGTTTTCATTACAATTTTCTTTCTAAAAAACTTGCTATATTGTATTGATGCGTAAAGGAACGTGTTTTCGTGTAGAAATGTAACAAATTTTTAAAATTAAAGCTAGCCATTCATTAGATTCACTACTTTTTCAAAGCCTGTCGTGTTATAAAAATAAATTTCGATAAAACAGTTGATGGCTCTTTAGCATCTTTGTTTTCATATGAATGTTTTTGTGTTTAAACTGTTACTAATTCATATTAAAATATATTTTATAACTTGAGTCAAATTCTATCAACTTCTATTTTTCGTCATGTACTGGTAAGGTGAGTGGGCTGCTTTAAAAGTTTAGTGTTTAGAGACACGTCATTCATTATTTCTTTCAACAATACGTCATTAAAAGTCATTTTCATTAGTCACCGATAATTTAATATTTAAGCCGCATTGAGTTTTGTTGTAGTTGATTCTTTACCGTGTTGTGCTGCTGCTAGTATTGTAGCTGCTGATTTTTTGTTGTAAGAGTAGATTTTACAAAGTGCCACAATGAGTTTACAGTGGACGATCATCGCGACGTTCTTGTACGCCGAAATCGCAATCGTGCTTCTCTTGACATTGCCGATCGCAAGTCCATCAAAATGGCAGAGATTTTTCAAGTCAAAATTCCTCGCTTACATAAGTGGTCAAGCGTCTATTTACTTCTTAATTCTTATTGGAGTGTTAGTACTATGCCTTCTCGATGCCATCCGCGAGATGCAGAAATACTCAAACATCGAGTCTTCAGACCACCAGCACTTGGATGCAGAGATGCAAGGTAACATGAGGCTGTTCCGTGCGCAGAGAAACTTCTACATTTCTGGGTTTGCGCTATTTTTGCTGGTAGTAATTCGCCGGTTGGTCCAATTGATTTCGGAGTTGGCGACTCTTTTGGCACAGTCCGAGGCTAACTTCCGTCAAGCGCAAAGCGCAACAGTCACAGCCAGAACGCTTCTGGATCAGGCTGGCGCCGGTGACGAGAAGAATAAGAAAGAGTTAGAGGAACTGAAGAGCCAAATCACTCTGCTGGAGAAGGAATTGAACAAAGAGAAGAAGGACAAGGAAGCTGTGAAATCCCAGGCTGAGAGCCTCAACAAGGAGTATGACAGACTTGCTGAGGAGCACAGCAAACTGCAGAAGAAGCTGACAGTGGCCAGTGGAGGGGACAGCAAGAAGGATGAATAGATTTGTTCATTGTATAAATCATGGTCTGATAAGTTAGTGATGTTTAAAGTCCAATTCTATTTATCAAGTCTTCACATCACTGTTTAATGCTAAATGAACAACTTGGGAACATATTTGGCATCATTCTATTTAAAATATGCTATGATGTAATTGTGATTCCAGTTAATTCTAGATCTATGAATAGGTTGCCTTATTTTTGTTGTAAGATCTACAAAATTTGTTTACACATCTAATTAATGTTTATCTTCTAACAAATCTGATATTAATCTAATGTCCACATAATTATTGTTAAACTAATTAGATACTAATGGCATTATTGAGAGTAATGTTTTGCATTTATTTTTGTTACATCCAAACGTAAAACGTAAAATAATAGCTTCCATACAATTGTACCATTGTTAATCGATTAGCAGAATCCATTATAAATGTAATACTGTACACAAAACATGGTTGATAAATAATATTTATATAATTCTTGTTGTGTGAGAGTGGAATGAATATTTTTCAATGCTTTCTAAAGCACTTTTTGTGCACACATTACTTCTCAGGTATTTTTGTAAAACATGAAAATGATAAGTACTATGTAAGTTGATTTGTATAACAAAAAGTCTGAATTGTTAATTTATTTGTTTTATTTTTTATTATAAAGACAAGCAATGCATAATTTATTGTAATATAAACCAGTTTGCAATGTCGATGAAATCATAAAATTTTTGTTTTCTTTTTTAATCTACCCTAAACATACCTTTTCTGTGAATTTTTGTTATGTAATATTATTATTGCCTTAGTATGTCTTTGGTTGCTTCGAATGTTGAGAATCAAAGTTCAAAGTGCATTTTTACCCAGTTTTACTAAATAAATGATGAGTCATCTAACATTGCGTATTTTGAACATAATATGTTTAGCATATTTCGTCATTCAAGAATTCCAAGGTTTACTTCCTTACATTGCCGGAAAATTGATACTAGAATGACGAAATAACTTCGCGGCTTTTTACTTAGATGCATAGAATTTTCTCAAAATAATAACTATCATGTTAATTTCTAATGTTTGTGGGATGTTCAACCTGTTAATTTTATCACAGACATCGAGCATTAAACTAAAATAATTAAAATTTGATTTGATTTGAATGATAGAAAGCAGAGGTGAAAAAATATTCATAATGGTAAATACTGGTTCAATGACCTTTTGACATAATTGTTTTTTTTGCCCGTTATGGGTGAAGGTCATTACTTAGAAATACTATTTTTTAATTAATTAATTAATTTTTTATCAATTAATTATTGTGTAATTTATTTTTTGTTTTTACTCTGTGTTTGTGGTAAATATAATAAAATTATTTTGTATAGTTACGAATATATTGTGTCGGGTTGTTATGGGTAGTCTAGTAAAAAGGAAAGGGTTTGTTTGTGATTTGTACTCTTATACTATTTTCAGTGTTGCTTCGAAATAAATTTGTATTTTTATTTAGCTGTTTTATTAATATTTTATCCTACCATTGATTGAGTATAACGTAACTGGCAAAAGGAGGATATTATAAACATTATAATTTTAAAGGTGAGACGATTACGCGATCTTGTACCTATCTCGACAGGTAAATACGATCAGTCGACGTCTGAGTTTAAATTTAAATCAGATTTAAGATCTAACGCAATTGTTTTGGGCGGACAGACAGACAGACTCCGTATCAATTATAAAACTACGTCTGGCTTGCGAGTCGGCCAAAACGTCAATTCTATTTTTAGACAACTACATTATGATTCATAGCGGAGCACGTCATGATACAAGTTAATAATATCATGCAAATGATGACAGTTTCTTGTTGCATTGTGAAATGGTTGGGTTTACGTGGTCTTTTGATAATAGTAAGAATTTAGTCTTACGACAAAATGAGTGTATAGACAATCATTTAGGTATTATATGAACACGTATTCACTGTCTATTTAGTTATTACGATTACGATGGAATATCTCGGAATAACTGTTTTCTTTGTGGCAGTTTTGTGGGCTTTGCTAGTGGAACAAGTGAAACAAGTGAAGTCGAAAATTCTACGTACACCTCGAATCTGTTGGTACCTTTTAATTAGGTATATTACAGTAGGTAACATAGGTCTCTTCCGTCTGAATATGAGTATACTTAATTATAATATATTATCAATTGACGAAGACATAGGTACCTTATGACAAGAGAATCATCATATCCATCTGCGACACATCACACAGACCACACATGCATATAATTATCCAGTACCTAGCGTATGAAATAAAGCTTTTTCCTCCTTTCTTTCTATATCAAAACTAAGGGTCAGTTTACATGTAACCGGTGAAAAGCCGCATTCTAACGTTGTATCTTTAATTATATGCGCCTCTCTGCCTACTCCTTCGATGTGCACATCGCGCCTTTTAGTCCCCAACATATTACAATATGTCACATGTTCTTCTGCCTTATGTGATCAATATACGAGACGTGTAACGTTAATTAGAAGTTGGTAATTTATCAAGAGTGAGAGAGCCATGCTTCAGCATGAATGGGCCAGCTCCACCGGAGTAATGCCAAGGCCTCACAGAAAACCAGAACAACTTTGTGTCGTGTGAGTGACGCTACCGGAGTCCCAATGTCCTCAATTCTCGAATTCATTCATTCCTCAATTCTCGGTTTACCCTCAAAGGCTGGCTACGCACTTGTAACGTCTCTGGTGTTTCGGGGTAATAAATATCAGCTAGGCTTCTGTAAAATGTCAATTTTGACTCTAAAGTGAACTCGACCGCGATTTGTCGTGTCACTGATTGTAAATAATCTCGACCAAAGTGACGGGCAAAAATGAGATCGAATTCACATCAAGAGTTTGAAATGACATCTTAGAATAGCCTAGCCGATCAGACAATTACCTTTAGTTAGGCACATATGCCGCCTTAAGATTACAAAACAGCTTATCATTATTAGTAAATAAGTTTTTATCTTCTTTTACTGATAATTTGAGTTCGGTGAAATGTGTTTATAAGTACCTACCTATTTATTTTATTTATTTAAGTACGTACACGTGTAGTAACACGGCTTTAAAAATTATAGATATAGTTATGTAGACTTTAATCAGATCTATTAATAGAATAGCTACATCATAGTTATCTAGTAAAACCTAAAAGCGTGAACGTATGCTTAGGTTCCGTTCATCGAGCATTGAACCTAACAGTGCAGTAGAACCTACTTAGGTAGGAACGTCAAAGTATGAGTAATATTAGGTGTAGGTAAATTAAAGAAAGAGGGGGCTGGGGTACCAGGGCCCTTACTCTTGAAACCAAACTCAACGTCAATGCAATTACAATCCAATAAAATCTCAATGTCAAAACTATTCAACTCCCATCGTAGCTGTTGAAATAGTATTAACTATTCAGACTGAGTACCTACATAATTATGGACTAAAAGCCAAACTCAATACCATTTAGTTCATTAAATATCCACGGAATACGGATGCAATGGGCGCTAGTGTTGCGACTCAATAGTACGAAATTTCACAATATCAATGTTGATCAATCGGAATTGGATTCAAGAGTAAGCCCTCAAGAGTGTAGGGATTATGGAAGCACGTGTCTTACTACGTAAGAGGTGGGACATCGGGCTGGTTTTTAGTCTGTAAAACTCTGACAATCTCGAGGGAGAAGAGGATTCTTCCCATGGATAAAAAATACACACACACACACGCCTTTATGACATAGACATACGTAGCCGTAGGTTGATGGAAACTACAAAGCACCACCTACAACGATCCTTGCATAATACATCGTTATTTGATAGTTTCCATCACATTCAATGTCTATTAACTCGTCGAGTACCGGTTTTGTAGACACAATTATAGAACAATAGGTTGCGGTCACCGGTGACCGCTTGGTGTTTGACAGTTTAAATTCATTATTATTTGCTCTACATATCGTGGTAATGTTGTAAATATCGACAATCGAATCTAATAATCAGTAGCTAATCGATTAAGAATGGACCATTGACCTTTTATTTGTAAACACTCGTCAGGTCCGGAGTCCAAAGCTGGGTACTTGTCTTATGAGATGACTAGCCTTGAATATAATTAACATAGCATTCCATCACGTATATTTATCCAAGAAGATATAGGCAGAGTTGTAGATTACTGTAACACTAACTTGTAACTTTCACATACATTGTAAATAAATATATATCGCCCAAGCAATGGGGGCGGGAGGGGGGCTATAGCCATTAACCGGGTAGATGCCACGTTAAGAATTTATGAAAAACTACAATTAGTTTTTCAATTAAATACCTACCAATGTATTTAATACTTTACCCCAATCCGTTATGGAATCTACGTCTCCTCGCTTGCTTATCACATTTAGGACTGTGAGTAAGAAATAGTAACAGTTAAGGCAATAGTTATTGGATATTATGTCAATTATCATCCATAAAACAATTAAGTACACCAAATAGTTTCAAAATTAATGTTCTAATACTTAGTTAGACAGACCAATTAATAGAATGTCTTAATTGAATTAAAACTTCACTGACAAGGGTTTAAAATGTAATTTTCTCGTTTAATTATAGATATAATTAATATCTTTGATGTTTCAACCTTGAAGCTTCGAGTTCAGGATCACAACAAATTGTTATATGAACTTCTAATATTTATTTTTGGTACGTATATCTTTAAATTACATTTATCATAAATCTTTAAATTACATTTGTTAATGTTGTGTAGTAATTGAGTGGTACTTTGAGGGCGTAACATAACGTTTTATATTTCCCGTAGGGATTGGCAGAGATGTGCACATACGTAGACGTACATAGACGTATTCTCTATGACAAAAGTAAGATTTTCCTCCCTTAAAAAATCATAAGTCGCTCTTATGGAGCGGTTGCCTTTCGAGTCACGGAGAACCTAACGGGTAACCGGGGCTCCGGCTCGACGTGCAGGAGATGGAACGGGGTGGTTTTTAGTTAGTAAGAGTCTGACACTCCCTCCCGCCTCACCCAGGCGGAAGCAGTCATTCGATGATTTTCCCCCTTAAAGAAAAAAGAAGCGGTTGCTTACTCACTGTGTCCATCGTGCAGTCAATATTGGGTTTAAATTAAAACTAAATTTTAAAAAATCTGATCATATTTTGCTATAAAACATTGAACAAAATGTCGATAGATGTTATCGAACATTTCAAAAAGGATTGTGAAATGTGGCGTATCTAGGTTTTATTCCAATAATTCAATGTAATATGATATTACTTATTGTTCGTTGTATCAAGGCTGTATGAGAATGAATGTGTGTTTACCTTAGTCCAATGTTATTTTAGTTTAAAAACATGTTTAAGCGGCATTGATATTTAACTCGTCGAGTACCGGTTTTGTAGACAAAATTATAGAACAATAGGTTGCGGTCACCGGTGACCGCTTGGTGTTTGACAGTTTAAATAAAGAATAGAATATGGTTAATTTTTTTGTTTTTGTTGAGAGGTGATTCATTCATCCCCAAACAGATTAAAAAGAAATAAGTCAAAGCATTTATTTCAATTAAACCATAATTTGGTACTTTTGAAACGTAAAAAAATACAAAATAAATAATATTCTGTCTGTCAGTCCGTCAGTGAAGCTAGGTGAAGCTAGGTGCTCATTAAGGTAGAGGAATACTGACTGACGACAAAAATAATAATTTTGTAGTAAGTCTGAATAAAGGAAAACAAAAGAATACGAGCATGTAATTTTAAAAGTCTTTTATTTTACGTTCTTGAACACAATAAAACAAAATTCATCAACTGAATTAATAGAAAAAGCTAACAAATCTCTGAAATGTATACTAAAAAAAAATACGAACTTTTTACATTCTTAAAATAGGTTTTAAAGTTCGTCCCTAAGATACTCGCGGTAATTTTCATTCTCGTTAAAACCTAGACTGTCCCAGAAGGCTTTCTGTCCAAAATCTGATGAAGACTTCATTTCCATCTGCGTAGGGGACAGGATATCCAAGTAGTTTAGTTCAGGGGAGCCAGGCTTCACAGGTTCCCATACAGGTCCACCGTTGATTAACTTGGGAGTTCTGGAAAAGTTGAGATAGATGGTTATATTTTTTGATTGTTTCTTATCTATTTTTCAATACATTGCCCCACACTAGGAATTTATCCTCTGTTGTAGGTGCCTTTACAAACATGCCAGTTCACATGCATACACATGACAACCAGACCTGGAACAACAATTTGGGAAAGAATTGCACCGAGTGGGAAATGAACCCGGTACACGTTGCGCAGCAGCCGGTTATACCAACCGTGCAGTCATCAGATTACAAATTATATTATGTTATGTCAGTAAACAATATTTTGTTTTCTAGACAGGTGGCGCTAACTTAATGAGAGTATATAGTTAATAACAAAAGTGGGAAGGCAAGCCAGTTCGCACCGAAATCTCCCGATGTAGGTAAGTACTATGGGTTTCTGCTACATAAGAGGCTTTGCCAATGTCT